TTTTTAGTGAATAAAATAAGCAAGACTAACTTATATAATCTTAAAAACTATAAGATTAAATTAAGCTTTTATAATAAATAAATAAGGAACTTTTATAATCTAATAATATTTAGAAATAAAATATATATGAATATGAATAAAAAATCAATTAATTATAATATTAAAATGATTAGATTTAAACTATGTACTAAGAAATTAAAAATCAAGACGAAAAAACTTAAATTATTAACCAGATTTGAACATTATTTAACTTAATAATTAAAATAATAATAAATAGGATTTTTAAAAATAACTTTAAGAAAATATTAAATAAGTTTAAATGGAAAATATAGAGCTTTTAAATATTAATAATAAATAAAAAATTTAAATAAACGAATTTGAATAAAAAATAAAATAAATTTAAATTTAAAATGAATCTTTAGTACAAGAACAGTAAATAAATAACGAAAATTTCCTTTATGAAAAAAATCAGGCTATTGAAATTAACAAAATTGAATTTTAAAAATAAATTATTGCCCTTTAAGAATAAATTAGGTCCTAATAATAATAAAATAGCTCACTTTTGATTTAAAATAATAAAAATTATTAAATTATTACTGATTTAGAATAAAAAAATAGACATCTTTTAAACTAAAATGAACTTTTTTTAAAAAAAAATAATGATAATAAACATTTTATTGATAAAAATAAAAAATTGAATAATTATTGGATGAATCTATTGATAAGCAAAATTACTAATAATAATATTAATATCTTCTTTAACAATTCGAAACTTAAAAATAAATTTTAACCGAATAAGAATAAAAAAACTAAATTTTAATAAATTAAATAGAAGAATTGAAATCAAATAAAATACAAGATCAAAACGACTTAGATACTTCTTTAAAATATGAATCTTATAATTCTTTAAAATAAGAATCTTCTAAATATATAGATCCTTCTTCTAAACAATATAATACAAGTTTTTCTAAATAAATAGATTTTTAAAAATAAATAATTTAATTATAAGAACAAATAAAGTAGTTATTGTAAAATAATAAAGAGTTATAATAATAAAGTAATAATAAATAATAGATAATAAATGAAATTGAACAAAAAATAAATAATTCAAAATTCAAAATGAATAACTGTAATAATAAATTAATTCTTTTAAAAATAATAATACATAATCGCAATGTGTTAATAAAAAATAAATAGATAATAGTCCTTTTAAAGATAATAATTAACAAATAGAATAAATGGAAGAACTTATATCAAATTTACAATAAGAAAACAAAGACTACTTGTAAACTTCATTCAAGTAGTGTTAGACTATTAATAATTTGGAACAAAAAAATCAATCATTGTAAAATTAATATGAATAAGCTCATTAATATGTATAAGATTTAACCAAAAACTATTCATAATATTAAGAAAAAATAAATGATATGGAATAAAGTATAGTATAATATATATAAGAAATATCTAATTTATAAAAAAAATAAACAAAATGGAAAATAAAAAAATAGAAATATAATAATAAAAGGATAATATGGAAATAAAAAATAATAATATAGAAAATAAACAAAAGTAGGTTTTAATTTAAAATGAAGATTAAGAAATTTTAAAGGAAAAAATTAATTTGAAATTTAATTAAAATAAAATTAGGAAAAAATAAATAATTTATAAAAATAAAATTAATAAATTCAGGAAGAAAAAAAATAAGTATATAACTAATTCTAGGAATGTTTTTAATCTAAAAATCTTATGGAAATTCAAATAAATGATTTAAAAAATTAAAATTTAAATAAAATAAAGGAAATATAACTTTTTTAATAATAAGTTTCTTTATATGAAAGTTAATATTTATAATAATAATAATAATAAAATGTTAATAATTCAGATAAAAAATCTCCTTAATAATCTAAAAATATTTAATAATAATAATAATAATAATAATAATAATAATAATAATAATAATTATAATAAATAGAAAATTAACAATTTAATTTATAAATAGAATAATAATTAATAGTTTTGTAAAAAGAAAACAATATTATTTTAAATCAAAACGACTTTTATAAATAAAATATTGAATTATTAGAACAGAAAATAAAAAATCTTTAAAACCAAATCGAATAATTAGATAATGAAAAATACCTTTTATAATAAGAGCAATTCAAACTTTAAGAAAAAATATACTTAATGGATTAGGATTAAAATGTATAATAAATATAAGAAGAAAATAACAAATTATAAAATAGAAATAAGGATTTATGTAAAGAAATAATATAATTATAATATATAATAGTTATTTATAAAAATAAAAATATAGAAAAGAAAACGAAAACGAAAATAATAGTGATTAAGTTTAATTTTATATATAATAATTAGTAAATAAAAACAAGAAAAAAAAAGAAAGTTTATAATTAATTAAATAAGAAAATCAAGAATATAAAAAAGAAGTTGAATAGCTATTTGAGTAAATAAATCTTATTTAAAATAATAATAATTTATTGAATTAAAAAAATGATTTTTTAGATAAATAATTAAAAGAATCTGAAAAAGAAAAAAATTAGCTTAATATTCAAAACGAATAGTTAAAATACGATATTTAAAATCTTTTGGAAGATAAAAATAATTATATATAATAAAATATTGAAAATATAGAATAAAATAAAAGCATTTAATAAAATTATGATTAGCAAGATAATAATTAATAAAATAATTTTTTATAAAAATTATAATAAGATGATTTTGAAAATAAAGAAATAATTGCAAAATTAGAAATATAAATAAATTAGTTAATTGAATAGAATTAATAATTAAATATTTTAAACCAAAGCTATTTCTAATAAATAAAAAAATATGAAGAATAAGTTGAAGAGAATTTTTTAAAAGATAAAAAATAAATTCTTAATAATTCAAAAAATAATAATAATGATGATTAATAAATATAATCATAATTTTATGAACAATATAATAACAGAAATTCTTTATTATTATAAGATAATAAAAATGATAAATAATTAAAAAAACAATACTCAGTAACATTAGTTTAATTATAATAACAAATAAACAATATTGAAGAAGAAAACAAACAATTAAATATTTTTAAGGAAAATCTATTAAATGAAAACTAATAAATTTAAGCCTAAAAAGAAAAGCTTAACGAAAATATAGAAAACATAAAAAAAAAATACTAACAAGAAATTGAAAATAATAAGAGTTAAATACAAGAAATACTATAAGAAAACCTCAAATTAAAATCTTAAAATGAAAACCTTCAAAAAATTTCAAATGAAAATTAACAAAATTAAAAATTAAATCAAGAAAATGAATAAATAAAAGAAATGGAATAAAATGAAGAACTTCTATACAAATAAAATTAATAATTTTCTCATGAAAATTTAAGTTTAAAAATCGAAAATTTAAAAAAGGAAAGTAATAATCCTGATTTACTAGTAGCTTTAAATTTTATACTAAAACTTCAACAACTTCTTCAAATTAAAAAATCAAATTTTTAATGTGCTAGGAATTCTCATATTGAATTAGATTAATAAAAACATACTTTATAGATTATTAATTAAGATTTAGTTTAAAGTTAATAAGCACTTTAAATTCAAAACATAGAATTAACTTAATAAGTAAATGATATATAAAAAAAATGCTTTTAATTAGAAAAAATAATTAAATAAAGCTAAGATGAAATTAATAACCTTAAATAAAAAAATGCTAATTTTGAAAACAGTGACCATCTTAAATAAATTGAAATTTTATAAACTTTAAATAAACGTCTTACATAATAGTTAGAAGAAAAATTTTATGTTTAAAATTAAAGACAATCTTTTGTGAATAATATGTAAAAAATTATACATTTATATATTCTTTTCTTTATTTTATTTTAGAGAAAGCAAAATATAATAACACCAAAAAGAATCATTAAATAAATCTTTAGAAGATTAAATAAAATAATTAATTGCAGAAAACTTCACTTTAACATCTTAAAATAAAGAATTATAAGAATAAAATATGAATCTAATTTCCAAAAAAGAAGAATTTTAAAAACAAATTAATAAACATAATTAAGAAAATCAAGAATTAATTAATAAAATTAAGGAAATATAATCCACAGAAAATAAGTATTTATTTATTATTTAAATTTGATAAAATATTTAAACAAATAAAAAAGCTAAATTATATAAAATAAATAAACACATGAATAAGAAAAATAATAATTATAATAATAAATATAATAAATAATAAATGAAAAAGATGAAGTACTTATTTATATATTTTATTTTTCATTATATTTTAATAAAAGTATGAATAATTTAAGAAAAAATTTAAAATCTTTAACTTATTTAAATTCTATGATAATAAAATAAAGATGAATTGTTAATTAATTTTTAGATTCAATGAATTCTAAAAATAAATTCTACATATAGAATCTAATTAAGAACTTACTTAAATTTCTCCTGAAAATATAACTGATTATATACCTAATAAACTTGAACTCAAACTATAATTAAACTACTAAGTATTTTTGTTATTATTTTGAAACATATTTTAATATTTTTATTATAGTTATTTAATAAAAAACTTTTAAGTCTTTTTGAATTCGAAAGTAAAGATTAATTAATTTAATTTTGCAAAGTATTAAGGTAATTATTTATTATTAAAAAATAAAATATTTAATATATTTAATAGATTGTTTGTTAGTAGTATTGAAGATAATAATGATTAAAAATAATAAAAAGAAAAAGGATTTTTATCATTCTTTTGAAATAAAAATATAAAATAGATTTTACAAAATTAATAAATACAAATATTGGTTATTACTATTGTATTTTTTATTTAATTTTTTTTTTAAATAACTCGATGAAAAAAAAAAAAATACTATAATCAATTTTTTCTCGCTTATTTTTTTTTTTGTAAATTGAGTAATAAAAGAAAAAAATAAAATATACAATATGAATAAGTAATAAAAATATATATATTATCTAATATATATTTATTTTGCTCAATTAGATGTTAAACTTAATTAAAAATTTATTTTATAAAAATATATACTTAATAAATATAATATTTTTAAAATCGGATTTTTTTAAAAAATGCAATCTTAAAACATATAAATATTATTTTTAAAATATAATATCTATTCAATTTAAAAATAATGCATATTTTTTTTCAATAAATTTCTTAAAAATAAGGATGGTTTAAAGCTTTACATGCAGATATTCTTTAATTAGGATCAAACTCAATCATTTGAGTAATAAGATCAAAAGCTAAATCATCAAATTTAGAGAAAAACTATCTTAAATTTTTCTTAGGAAAAATAGCATAGTTATTTTTAAAGTTTTCGCATTCAAAAAGGAATTAAAAATTCTAGTAATCTGGAGTTCCTAATAATTAAAAAATCTTATTAATTATATCAATTTCGCTAAAAGAAATAAACAAAGGTTAATTTATAGTCAATTCATAAAAAATACACCCAACACTCCAAATATCGATTTAAAATGAATATCTTTTATAGCCTAATAAAACTTCAGGAGCTTTATAACGTAAAGACTGTATATCCATAGTTAAATCTTTTAAAGGGAAATTGAATATTCTTGAAATTCCAAAGTCTGCAATTTTAACTACACCTTAATCATTTATTAATATATTTTAAGGTTTTATGTCCCTGTGAATTATTCTTTTGTTATGAATTTAAGATAATCCTAAAAGAATTTAGAAAATTATTTTTTTTACAGAATATGTTAAAGAATATATATCCCTTTAATGAATATATACATGAAGATCTTAATCAAAATATTCAAATATTAAAAATATTTATTTATCCTTATAATCGTATATGACTTTTTTTAACCTTTTTTATTTTTTTTTATTTTTTTTTAATTTTTAATTTTTACTAAATTATATTTTAAATATTTTATAAAAGTTTCAATGATTGTAATTCTCTTAAGCATTATTAAGGCATTCCCCATGTATCATAGTCTTAAACTTTTACCTATTTAATTGCAACAAATTCTTCAGTTTATTTATGTTATCCCTTGTAAACAATACCATAAGCTCCTTCTCCTATCTTTTAAATAATTTAATAGTCTTAAATACTCATTAGTTTTTTCTATATATTATCAAATAATAATAATAATAATAATTAAAATTCGAAAATATTTTAATTATTCTAAATTTATAAATTTGAACAATATTAAGAATCTATTTTTTAATTTCTAAAATTCTAATTAAACGAATATAATTAAAAAAAGACGAATTTAAAATAAAAAAACATTAATAAATTAATTAATAAAAAAATAAAACACTGAATTAAACAAATTTAATAAAAATAATTTTATAATAATAAGACATAAAATTAATATAATATATTAATAATTTATATATATAATTCTACATAAAATTATAAAAAAATTAAGAAAAAATTAATAATTATATTTATTATAAATAATATATTTTATAAAATAAATCTATTTTAATACAATAAACTAAGGCTATAAATTAAATATAGTTTATATAAATAATTAATTTTTTTATATTATTTAGATATTAAATAATTTTCAAATATATAAAACATGGAAGTAAAAAATGAAAAAATAGATTTCTTTCAAAATTATGAATAATTATTTTAATTAAGAAAAACAAACTTAAAAAAATATAAAGGAATTCTTAAAAATTGCATAAAAGAATAAAACACTTAATTCTTATAAAGTGTAAATTTTTTTATTAAAGAAAACACAAACATTTATATATTTAAATTTTATATTTGCTTTTTTAAAAATATTTATAGTTAGCAATTAATATAATTAAATTTCCAATTGAAACACGATTATAAGATGAACTTATAATAATTTAAGAATGGACAAAAAACTTTAAGTTTTTTAAGGATTTAAATTAAAAGAAAATAAACTAATAATTAAAATTACATTATAAATGCTTGAAAAAAATCAAATATGAATAAAAATAAAAAGGAGAATTTGTATTTTTTGAAGGTTTTTAATTTTGATTTTAATAATAATATTTTTTAAAAAAAAATTAATGATAAAAAATAGGTGATATTTCTGACAAATTCTACATTATTTTAAGTGGATTAGTATCTGTTTTAATTCCTAAAAGTAAGTTTTAATTAGAAAACGAAATAGCCGAAGTATAGAAAAGTCAAAAATTAATAAGAAGTTCAACCCTTACATAACTTATTTCATAAAAAAGTAAAATATTTAAAGAAAATAAAACAAACGATTAATAAAGAAACAATGAAAGTATTTTAAAATAAAAAATATGTATCTAATTATTATATAAAAATTAAAAATTTATATTTAAAAAAAAAGAAGAAAAGATATATATTAGTTAAAATGAAATAAAAAGTTAAAATATTTATAATGACAAATAAAAAATAGATGAAGAAATAAAAAATCTTTTTTCAAATTAAAATTTAAACTCAGCAAGTAATAAAATAAATAAAAAAAGATTTGCACCTTGTTAAACAAAAATAATATAAAAAATATAAAAATAGATTTAAAAATTTTTTTTACAGGGGGAGTATTTAAATATAATATAATAAAAACATTAGAATAAGGTTAAATGTTTGGAGAATTAGGATTAATAATGTAAATACGTAGAGCAGCAACTGTCATTGTAAAAGATAATGCAGAATTTGCAGTTTTAGGATAAGAAGATTATAATAAAATATTAATGGCAATAGAAATTAAAAAAACTAATGATAAAATTAATTTCTTTTAATAATATTTTAAATAAGGATTTTAAAAAGATTAATTTATAAAAATATGCTATTGTTTTGTTAAATTAAAATTTAACATAGGAACCTATATTTATAAATAAAATGATTAATCAAAGTTTATTTATTTAATTAAAAAAGGAACAATTGAAGTAAATTTATATTTTAAATAGTAATTATAAATATGCATATATATATATATATATATATATATATATATATATATATATATATATATATATATATATATATATATACATATATATATTAGTTATAAAAAGAATAAGATATTGTTTTTGATTAATAAATAAATTAAGCAGAAATCATATAAAGTTCTAAAGATATAGATTCAAATAAAGTTAATAAATAATAATAAAAGAAAATAATTCCTATTAGTATTTTAAATGTTGGCTAATAATTCGGAGATTATGAAATAATGCTTAACATCCCTAGATTTACTCATGCTTTATGTTTAAGTAATAAAGTTTCTGTTTGGGCTTTAGATAAATAAGTAAAAATAAATATTGTTATTATTTAAACAAATAATCATTTTTTTTTATTTAAATAGAATTTTATGAAATTTATAAATGCAAATTCAGAATCGTAAAAGTACTTTTTAAATCAAGCGGAAATAAAGAAATAATTTTATGATAATTAATGCAAAATATTTAAGTTTTCATAAAAAATAATAAAATAAAGAAAATAAGATATATAAAAAGATTAATCCCTAAACAAAATAAAATAAATATTGAAAGCATCTAATAATATAAATTAGAAACTTTTATAAGATAAAGATATAAAAATTAACTAAAAATAAACAGAAAGTAATGTTGAAGAGGCTATATAATAATAATTATTTTAATTAGATTCTATAGAAAATGTAATAAAAAAAGATATTGAAACTAATTAATAAAAAGAAACAAAAATACATATATACAAATAATTAGAAAAATTTTTAAATTATAAAATAATTATAAAATAAATAAAAAATAATTATCTTCTTGCAGGAAAATAAAATAAAAATAATAATTAATGTGAATAAATATTTAATATAATGAAAGAAATTTAAAAATAAAAAAATGAATTATAATATTTTATAAGAAATATAATGGCAAAAAGTGCTTATAAATATGTCCAAAAAAAAAAGAAAATTTTTTTTTTGGATAAGACATTAAAATCGAATTAAATAATAAAATATCTAAAGTTATTATATTTAAATAATAAAAAAAATTAATTAAATAAATAATTTATATAAAAAAAAGTAAAATGAATGTAGTTTCAAAATCCCTTAAATAAGCTAAAATTTTCATACTTAAAATAATATAAAATTTAAAGAATAAGATAAAGATAATAGTATTTCGGAATGTTTTTAAATTTAAAAAAAGGAATCTATTTAATCTAATTCGAAAAAAATAGTTTATAAACTTTTAATTATTTGAAATTTCCTATTTATAATTAAAAAAAATAATCTAATACTAATATTACTCCTAGACTTAGTGATTAAAGCTTAAATTATAACTCCAAATGTAATTGTTTCGAATATAATTAGAGTAATATTGGTACTCTAAATTATATAAATTATAATACCATTAAAGATAATGTTTAAAAGTATAAGAGTGAGAATAATAATGAAGAATAAAATTACTTATCTTAAATAAAAATTAGTGAAAATGATTTTTTTTTAAATAAAATTAAATCAACTAGCAATCAAATATTATTTTCAACAATTGTATTAGATAGTAATACGATAAATTTAATAGAAAAAGATAACTAGTAATAAGAATAAATAATAAGGAATAATAGTTTAGATTTAAAATATGTAAGATTTTATATATTACATAAGATATTAATATATTTTAATTATAATTTTTATAAAAAGTAATAGATTAAAGGAATTGATTAAAAAAATAATTATTTAGAAAATTTAAAAATTTACAATAAAAATTAATAGAATAATTTTCAATAAAAATTTTAAATGACAAAACATAATATGTTCAGAAAAAAACCTTAAAAATTGTATTTGTTAAAAAATACAGAAAATTATTATTAATTATGATTATAAATTATATTTTATTTTTAAAAAAAAGTAAGTTGTTATGTATATATAGAAAAAACTATGTTGTGAACTTTTTATATTTTTTAAAAAATAAAAGATAAAATATTTTATTTTATAAAAAAATATATAATATATACCTATTAAATATTTTAATAATAATTTTTATTATTTATTTGTTTTTAAATAAAAAAATTAGATAATTATATATTTATTTTATTTTAAAAAAATTACAAATATAATTTTATCTTTAAAATTATATTATTTTTTTTATTTTTAATATTTAATATTTTGTTCAAGGTGTGCCTTCTTAGTCTATATAATTATAAAAACCGAATGTTAATATTTCTTCTATTTCTTTGATATTCTAAAAATCAAAAGGATATTAAATTTAATTTTCAGGTGAAAACAAACTCAACTATTGCATTCCTACGTTAAATTAATCATTAACAAAAAGAGGTAATATACACCATCCTATTATTTTTACTTAATCCTATTTTTTAAATATAAATATATAAAAAAAATACAGTATTAATTTTTACTAATTCTTAAGTTTCAATTTTAATCAAAAAGTATAATTTGTGTAAGTTTTATTAATATAATTTTCTAATATATTTTTCATTAATATTAATAAGTATTTCGTCATAAAAATCAACAGTTTTAGAATTAAAATTAGGGTCTTTTAGATCTCCTTAAATTTCAATTAATTCATCTTCTAAATCTTTAATGATTTAATTTTCAAAGAAAATACTTATACTATATCCAACTTAACTTTTTTGTGTATGATTTAAAACCTAATTAACTAATAACTTTAAATAGTTATTTTATTATTATGAATCATTATATGTTTCCTAATTATATTATTAATTTTATATTTGTGATTATGAATTTTCTTCATTTATATCATCTAAAAGTATTTAATAAAAAAGAACTGATTCTAAATTTTTTAAATTTTCTTTAGAAATGTTTCCTTCAATATTTACGGAGGGGTCAACTAAATTAACAGAAAAATCTCCCTATTTAATTTAGTTTTATTCATTAAATAATTTATGCATATACCAACCTAATAATTAATTCTAATTCTATTTTATAATAAAAATATTATATAAATAAATAAAAAAATAAAATTTACTTATTCTAATTAATATATAAGTATTTAAATATACAATTAATTAATTTAGTTATTAAATTTTTTTATTAAATAGACTTAATTAATATCAACTTCGATTGATTCTTATATATTAATAAAATCACCTTTTGCATTTTATTATAAAAATTCATATTCAAAATCTATAGGTTCATTGTTTATATCATTAATAATATCATTATTTAATACAAATTTTATTCTATAATTCAAATTACCGTTGTTAGTTAAATTTTATAAATTTAACAAATTTATATTAACTATTTTATTTTAACTTAGTTGAGAATTATATTAATCATTAATATTCTTATTCTAATCTTTATACTAAATTTAACTATTTTAATTTTAAGATATTTCATTTTAAGATTTATAATCATTAATAATTTATGGTTATATCTAATTTAATTATTATAATGATTATAAAGAATTTTATTATTGTTATTATTGTTATTATTATTGTTATAATTGTTATTATTGTTATTATTGTTATTATTATTGTTATAATTGTTATTATTGTTATTATTGTTATTATTATTGTTATAATTGTTATTATTGTTATTATTGTTATTATTGTTATTATTATTATTATTATTATTATTATTATTAATCTTATTATTATTGTTATTATTTAGTTATTACTTATTATTA